GCCATATTTTATGAAAGCCTTCAAAGAGGATATAGAATTGTTCTTGAAAACAAAAACTATTGTTTGGATGAAAGAGCAAGTGGACTGGAAACACATAGCTTGTTATAGTCCTCTGCTGCTCATGTTTGATGCATGTATACAATTTATTATGCAATTTCTTGAGATTTGACAAAGTAATTGTCTGGCAAACCATAGCTTTAATGATTTTTTTTTCTGTTTCATATGAAAAGACTGTAGGTATTTTAGGAAAACGGCTTAATAGATCAATGTCTATAAGTATTCTTTGGCTTATTATATATCTGTAGGTTGTGGAGACTCAGAAATATTTTCAGAGGAGTGTGATTCCATGTAGTAAATTCATTTTCTTCAGCAGAGTCAGTGCATGTAAGCTTACAGTAAGCTATAACTTCAGAAATTATTTAAGCTACCCTTGGGCCTTTATGGTAGAGTTGTATTTTGTTCTCAGCAGGGTATGGGGGAGCGAGAATACAACAGCACCCCAACACTCAAGAGGCACTGGAAGACAGGCAGGGCCTCCAGTTAATTTCTGACTGGCTGGTGTTGTCTGCAATCATTAGAGGCAGAATTATCAACTACACTCTAAATGACTCTGATTGATGCTCAGATTCATTTGCCACTATTAGCTGTCTAGATACAAGAGATGGTCTCCTAAAGTCCTTTTACCTTAAGTATGGGTTCCTTCTGTTCAGTCCATGCTTTGGCAGAGCTCTACAGGAATTTGGGTTCTAGAGATGGATGTTGCTGTAGCTGAAATATTTAGAGAGCACAACAAAATATTTTTGTTGCTTAATGTTGGTATCTGATACCTAGTGCCACGTTCTTTGGAAATATTGAAAGCCACTGAGCAAGTATGTTCTTACATAGTAGAATCCACACAGATTTTAAGAGAGGCATTATTATTATTATTATTATTATTATTATTATTAGCTCCACTAAAGCTGTTACATAGGGGCTAAACAATATCTTGACTGTTGCTACTCTTCAAGGGTGGTAAATTAACTCCTAAGGTTTACAAATTTTATGTACACAGTAATTACTATACTATATATGTGTGCAAATGCATATACATAGATATACAGGTAAACATAAAAGTTCATGTGTACATCCACACATATATGTATATACACATATACATTTGCATTAAAAAAATAAAATTACCATGTCTACAAGATAACTTGACCACCTCAACTGTGGTTCAGATGTTTTAATTGATAATACACTATTTTCCAAATTATTTGGAAATTTTTAAATTATTTTAATAGATTACACTTTCATCAGAAGATTCATGTAACAAATCTACCCTCATAATATGAAGATGAATGACACCTGACCATTGAAATAAAGCAATTAGGAATAGGAATGGTTAATTTGCCCTCATGAACAAGAATGATTTGAAGAAAAACCAGGTTAGAAGTTATAATACTGGGCATGCCTGTAATCCTAGCAGCTTGAGAGACTGAGGCAGGAGGATTGCAAGCTCAAAGCCAACCTCAGCAATTTAGCAAGGCCTTTATCAACTTAGTGAGAACCTGTCTCAAAATAAACAAAATAAAAAGGGCTGGGGATATATGCTGTGATTAAGCTTTCCTGGGTTCAGTCCCCAGTACCAAAAAAAAAAAAAAAAGAAAGAAAGAAAGAAAAGAAATTATAATACTGGAAGGATTTGCAGGTTTCTATAGATTTCAGAACCGAATTAGTGAGTGACAGAGTACTTACATGATTCGGATTTCTAGCACTGCCAGTTCTTTTGCTGAAACCTCAAAACATTTGTTCCAAGGATCAACCTATGAGCATAAAAGTTATTTTACACATAACATGAAATGCTTTATTACATGAATGAGTGATGACTGCACAGGGGAATCTATACATCAGCACAACTGGAACCAGCAAGTCCAAGTCTCCTATTTCCAGTAGTGACAAACTGCCAAAGTGGCTCCCAGTAGTAAGCTGGGTCCCCAGGAGTCATATGTTCTTCCCGACCAGTGTGGGAGGAAGCTGTCCAAACAGAAGGAAGCTCTAGGAGCCTAGAACTGATAGGAAGAGAACTCTGAAAGCATGACTGAATAGCCTTATTTCATAAGATTCCTGAAATACAAAGACTCTAAAAGAAAATCTATATTCAGTCCTACATTTTTGTGCATCACAGAAATCCATCTACTTCCACAGCTACTTGTTACAGACTTGGCAGGATTCCCAAAGAAGCAAACATGGGGTAGGCATGTGGGCAGGCACACATTCTCTGGGGCCTAACATTAATTTTTTTTTAAAAGCTAGCATGACCACAAACATCACAAAATCCAGGAAAATAACATAATGTTAACTAACTAGCTGCCTGGTACCTATCTTTTTCCTGAAATTTGACTTCATAGTCCTCATGGTCTTGAGTCAATTTCATAATGACAAAGATTTTGTAATACTATTTTCTAGGGGAAAAAGATTGAGATCAGTTAATTTTCCTTCCAATCTGATTAGCCAAAATTTGTCTTTTATTATTAATACTTCAGCACATTTTTTTTGGTTTCCCAGTTTGTTTCCGTAATGTGATGAATATGAAAAAAACTTCTCCAAGTTTCTTTTTCATATGAACTATAAGATTGCAATTTTCCTGAATAAGAAACCTCCATAAATACCTCCACAGTCTTAAAAATTTTTGCCATAGTACACATTCATATCATAAGACGACTTCCAATCCTTTATTTTTATGTCTTGATGCTGTTTAAGTCAGCACAAATGAAGAGTTAGGATATTCCTGGTATTTCTTCAAAGTATTAGGCAATAAATTAACTCCACATGGAAATAATTGTGAACCACATATATACATACATCCTTCTGTATCAATCCACATTGAATTCCCAAATTACATTCCTTTTAGCCACATCTCAGAAATGTCCACAGCTCCTCCAACAACCCTCTGACATGATGAAAAGTCAAAACAGACAAAGAAAACAAGCTTAGTTGATTGTAGTAAAATGTCTTATTTGGTAAATTTCATGCATTTTTAGAGTCTCTCCCAGAACCTTAGGAGATGTCTTCCCAGTGGACAGCCTCCTCTGATCACTCAATTGGGATAGAGTTTATCTGATGTCCCCCACAGCTCAGAGCTCACATTCTTGACCACTGTGCTATGTGTGCCCCCTCCAAGAACCAGTGGTCTCCTCCCACTGAAGACAATATAAGGAATAACATTTATTGAATTTTTATCAGTTCACAAATTACTTTGACATTTCACATTTTTTCTTGATCATAACACTGCTCCTAAACATTAAATACTGCAGGAATTATTTCCCTATTCACTAATGAGAAAACTAAGGTTTAAAGAACTTAGGATACTTATACTACTGATAATGATGGAGGTGATCCTCCAATCCAGTTTCTTTCTGATCTAGACCCTATGTTCTTTCCTCCTATTCCCACAGGATCTTTAGCTTTTAGGTGAATAATAGCTATGACAGTCTGTCCTAGATGAACATCCAGTGGTCATCAGGAGTAAGGGACTGTAGGAAGACGTTGAGGCTAGGCTAGGCTACGACCTTTCTTATTGCAACTTCCTCCCAATAGGCCTGTGTTGAAATTTCTTTCTAAGGTGACAGGAGCCTCAATCTCTCTCATCCTATTGAAAATGTTGGATTTCAATTACAAGGCATCCATTTGTTTTTTGCATGTTACACCAAAAGCCTTTGAAGTGTATCCCTACTAAATACTAAATTTGAAAATTGCTACTAATGGATGTAGCTTATTCTTCTGTTGAAGTACTTGTTTACATCCTCTGAGAGCTCAGTGTAGTCTATGGTCCCATCAACCCCAAAATAGGAACATTGTTTTGCCTATTTTTCTTTCTCCTCTTATTTTCACCCTATATACCTGTTAAAATAAAATAATGTTGGCTGGTAATGCACTAGAGTTGAGTGTGAACTCATGGTTAGCTTAACACAGATATATCTGGTAACATATATAAGCTTGTGTTTTAGGCAGCTTTGGGGCTGCTAGGACTAAAGGACCTGACCAGAACAATTTTAAAAGAGGAAAAATTTTTTGAGGCCTCATGGTTTCAGAGGTCTTAGTCCATAAAAGGTCGACTCTATTCCTCAGGGCTCCAGGTAAGGCGGAACATCATGGTGGAAGAGTGTGACAGAGGGAAACAGCTCATGTGCTGATCAGAAAGCAGAGAGACAGAGTGTCCACTCACCAGGTACAAATATATCCCAAAGCCACACCCTAAACCCCACCCCCTCCAGCCACACCTTACCACTTCAGTTACCATTCAGTTAATCCCATACAGGGGATTAAATCACTGATTGGTTTAAGACTCTTACAACCCAATCATTTCTCCTCTGAACCTTTTTGTACTGTCTTACATGTGAGCTTTTGGGGGACACTCCCATCCAAATCATAACATGTGTAGATAGATATGTATACATACAGGGTTACATACATTTCCTTGTTCTTTTAGTTCATAGGCGCCATCTAAAAAGCTCCCAATGATCAAAACTGGAATAGTTTGAGTAGGGAAATAAATAAATTTGTATTGGATTATAACACAAAGTGAAAAATAACTGGAGTCCATATTGATATAAATCAATGATTACATAAATAAACGGAAGAGACAAACCTCCTTTGCAGACAAATTCCCCCTCACAGAGCTGCTCCATACCTCTTTACTCTTTAAGTGCAGGCTGTGCATAGTGACTTTTTTGCAGGAAGCACAATATGGGGAAATTATTTTTTAAAAGAACAAAAGAGGAGAGCACCTTTACTATGGAGAAACCCGACAAACATTACTTCAGCCAGGTGATCAAGTTTGACATCAAGAGTGATAACTCAAGCCGAGCGTGGTGGCGCACTCCTGCAAACCCAGGGGCTTGGGAGGCTGAAACAGGAGAATTGCGAGTTCAAAACCAGCTTAGCAACTGCGAGGTACTAAGCAACTCAGTGAGACCCTGTCTCTAAATAAACTACAAAATAAGGCTGAGGATGTGGCTCAGCAGTCAAGTGGCCCTGAGTTCAATCCCTGGTACCAAAAAAAAAAAAAAAAAGAGTGATAACTCATATTGATACATAACAAAAATGGATCTTTATCACTGTGGTCCTCCTCACAAAAATCTATAACCACAGTGTAATGGTGAGACAAGTTTAAGTGAAGGAGCAATTTACAAATTAGCTGGCCAATACTCCTGAAAATCATCAGGGTCATCAAAAACAGTGCAAGTGTGGGAAACTGTGTAGGTAAAAGAAGCCTAGGAAACATGACAATCAAATGTAATGTGGTCCATCGGATGTGATCCTGGAACACAGGAAGAACAGCACATAAAAACTAAAGACATCTGAATAATCTATGGACTTTAATAATAAATCATCAATATTATTCATGCACCATACATACTAATGGAAGATAATACTAATAACACCATGCTCTAGATTCTTGGGGTTCTCTGTGCTGTCCACTCGTTTTTCCTATAAATCTTAATCTGTTCTATAAATGTTTCAAAGTGAATTCTAGAAGTATTCTGCATCTTATGAAAACATAAAAATTTTATGTTAAAAAATGACAGTTTTGGAAAAATAAACTTAACATGTACTACCCATGATAAGAAATAGTAATTTTGGGGGTGGGGAACAATAATAATTACAACACACTTATAAAAATTTACCTTCAAAACTATATACTGTGCATACAACCTAAAATCATTATGCTTTGGCTTCACCCCCAAAAATATCTAAAGTGCACATTCATTAAATGAGCAAGTAAGTATTTCCAGATAAGATTCAACTGACAAATTTTACCCACTTCGGATGTGTTATTGAAATTTATATCAATAGTACATACATTTCAGGTTTATGAAGACAGTTACAAGTGGAAGCTTGTCTTAAAGATGAGAATTCTAAAGATCTGCATCTTGCATAGTAAGAGTGTTCTTGAAAATCTCTCTGGAAGCATTTGACTACTGTTAGAAAGCCAAAAAAAAAATTAATACACATAAAACAGGATCAAACAGGGCCAAATATTCTTACAGCCAAAACTTAAATCTCTACAGAGGACTTAGTCCTTATCTTGACCCATGTTTTCCTCTATTATTCAGCTCCTTAAGAGGTAAAGACAAAAATGAAAAGATTCCAATTCAGATCTGTCATGTTGTGTTAGCCATGGCTGCATGTTACTATTGGATTTTGTAAAAATATAGCCTGTAGTCAGTATGTTGCCTTTTAAAAATAGTAAAATGCAATACTCAACAGAATTCTTTGTCACCTCAACTACCCAAATTTATCCAAACTTTCAGACAGTGCTTCAACAATATGAAAATATTATTTTGTAGAATATGATCACTGAAATTTTATAAAAGAAGCATTATAAAACAAACAATTAAAATAGGAATCAGACTGTGCTGGGGTGGAATGGAGGATGTAGTGAAAAGGATAAGACAGAGCAACAAAGATTATTCTGAAAAAGGTACATTAAAGAGCTTTACACTAATTTGGCATGAACATACTCTATATACACAGTTACGAAAAAGTGTGCTGTGAACGGATAATTATGAATGTAATGCACTCCACTATTGTCATGCATGAATAAATAAATAAATAAGAAAGAAAAAAAAGAGCTTTACCCTAATATTAAAGCAGGTAAGAGCAGTAACCAGTAAATATCTTAACAATAGGTCACCTGTGAGGGAATCTTGCACCTCAATCAATATGATAAATTCTAGTAATGATACAATATTTGACTATTAACCACATAGATATTTGACTAAGAAATATAAATCATTGCTTTCTAGTAACTATTAAAAAAATCAGTGAATATTCAAACACAGTAACACTAATCATTTTTAGAAATTGGTAAGGTAAAGAAAAATGTATTGCCACATATGAAAGAAAAAATTGAGGGTGGAGGTGATTAGAATAATTTGTAAATTTGTATGATAATTCTTTATGATAAAGATGCATTGTCCTTCTGATAGAGAAAGTCACTCATGCCTTTCTTTAATGAGCATTCAGAATATGTCATTTCTATAGCAAAACAAATTGTCTCCCATAAACTCCAATATTTTGAAAGATTTTGATGCTTATTGAAGCTTATGAATATAGCAAGCATAATTTTTATCAGTGCACTCAAAATGTGTTAATATTTTTTATTTTCATTTTTCTATCTGACCTACTTTCAAAAAGATAACTGGATAAGTATCTAGGGCCCCGAGACTCTGGGCAATATCCAAGAGGAGAAGAATATATTTTTTCCTTATTTCACTGTTTAAACCTTCAGCTTATCCCATAGTCACTAAGAAAGTTCCCAGTTGTACTTTGAGGAACATTCATTGTAGTCACTTCTCTTCATTACACCCCTATCCAGTAGTTAAATGAAGAAAATGCCCTCTCTCTCCAAGTACAGGAAAACTAAGTCCTGAAAAAGCAAAATGATTTGTCTAGAGTCACAAGTAGTGACAGAGACAGAAGCCAAAGTACAACTACATCCTCTCTCATCTCAATCATTTGCATAAATACGAATTTCCAAAAAGTTACTTTTCAAAATCAGAACTATATTTGGCAACCTATAATTAATGTTAAATATCCTTATTTTTTTATCTCAGTTATTTAGATATATGCATGAAGTATCAATACTTCCAAAGGTAAAAGAGTAGTGGCTTTCAAAATTACAGATAAACTAATGCAACATAAAATATCTGAAGAGCAAAGTCAAAAATACTGGTACATTTGTTAAAGTGATCGATTGCCCTTTGAATAGCATTGCAAATTATTGTAGCCTAAGTAAAGCAGATTTTATTCTTTCCTTTACCTTGTAGTTGTAGAACCCTAAGCATAACCTGTAGAAAAGAAAAAATAAAAGGAAGATTAAGTAGGGAATTCTGTAGCTATGTCTGTTTATCTTTTACTCAATAATCATTGAATTATATTCATTATGTCTGACACTATTCTAGGCACTTTACATATATTTACAAAAATTTAACATCAAAAAATGCCTTAAAATAGATGCTATTATTACCCCCACTCTCAGATGAGGAAACTGCGAAGAGGTGGAAAGTACCAGAGCCAGGATTCAAGCCCTAAGGGGTCCGCTTCCAGATCTATACTCAGAGTCACAGCACTCTGCTACCTTTGTTTAGTAGTTTAATTAATATTTCCATGAAAGTAACTATTTTCCAACTTTTCAGAGAGTTTTGCTAGGTGATGTTTGCCATAGGTAAAAGATTTTTACCAACATCCCACCAACTCTGCTCTATATGTTGTGGAACAATAATTGCATAAGAGTATAAGAATTTTCTTAATTGCAAACAATAAATCAGTACATTTGGGAGACTAACTGATACTACTTTGGTCAAATGCCCAAAATAGTTTCTAAAATTCACCCCCCCATTCTTTCTCCTATTTCTCTAGATAAATTTGAAAAATCACCCTTAATAGTCCATGAATATATTTATTGAATACTATTATGGACAGGTATGAAGCTATGCACCATAGGAAATTTTACCAAGAAGAAGGAATTTTTCCCCCAGGAAACTTATAATCTAGTTATGATGATAAAATAGATGTCCCTAAATAATCAATTAACAAAGCAGTAAACAATCAATGTCAAAAGAATGTTATAGATAATAAATACTATGAGGTAGTTAGGGACTTGCTTTTTTTCTACTCCAATAGTTCCTTATACTTTGCCTTTTTTAGGGCAAGTATCAATTGTAATTATTCAGTTGGTATGTCTAATTTACTGTACTAGAATATTAGCCCCTTGAAGGCAAAGATGCAATTTTATTCAACATTGTATCATCAATATTTAGCATGTTGTTTGGTGTATGATAAGTACTTAATGTAGACTTGATGAACAGACAAATGAATGAATGAATAAATGAATGAAAGTGTATGGAAGGCCCTGGACAGTGTAGTAGAATGACTAACTTCTGGAGGCAGATTGTGTTGGTTTGAATCTCAGCTCTACCTTGTTTCCAAGTTGTATGATTCTGAAATTTTTATCTGATATCTTTGTACATCACTTTATCCATTAGTCAAATGATAATAATAGTATCTTTCTATATCAGCTAATTTTACTGTGGAACAAATCACCCCCAAAAGCTAATGACTTGAAAGAACAGCCATTTATTTAGCTTAGGGTTCTGTGAATAATCAATTTTGACTCTACTGGGTCTCCTGTCTCAGCTGGGCTCATTCATGCATCACTCAGTAACCAGGTGAGTGAGGAAATGTCTGGTTTATGTGGTATCCCATCTTTCACCAAGCTAGCCTGGGCTTCTTTACATGGCAGCTGTTGGGGTTCCCAAAGAATTGAACTGGGGGGAGTTGAAGCATGCAAGGCCTCTTGAGGCTTAGACTTAGAATTGGCTCAGTCACTTCTGGAGCATTGGGTCTAAGCAACTCATAAGGCCAGCTTACATTTAAGGAGTAGAGAAATAGACTCTACTCTTGACATAAAATCAGTAAAACCACAATGTAATGGGGGGTGTGTTTATCAGGAAGGTGGAAAGATGGATCCATTTTGATAACCTATTATACTCTCTCATAGGATTGGCAAGGCACCAATGTTTATTTTATTAAGAAAACAAAAAATCTGAAGGATTTAGAATAGTGTCCACACCATACAAGTAAGGAGCTAAACAATCAATTGTCATTCTTTTTGAAGTTGCTTGTAGACATTTCATAACAGAAAGAAATCTGAGTTTAATCTTGGGATTTCTATGTGTAAAGAACCAAACCCTTCATAAGAATACAACCTAAGCAGAAGCACGAGGTACAGCTAACAGACCAGACTACCCAGAAAAGCTGGAACTAGGTTCTTGAGAATCTGAATAGCTGATATAGACTCCCAAATCCTTGTCCCAGACCCTAGAGAATACTAAACAATTGTTTTTTGAGTAATGGTTAGCCAATAGCACCGTTTCTTATTTTTTTTTACTATTATTTCAGGGGTTTGTTTTTATTTATTTCTGGCTTTTCGATTTTCCTTGTTTTGTTGGTTGTTATTTTTATGTTTTTAACTCTTCAATAAGCTTCTTAGTGCTTATGACTTTGTGATATCTCTGGCCATAACTGCTCATTTAAAATTCAAAACTAGAAAGTGTCTGGGTTTTGTCTAGTTTTGCCTGAGTCTGAGGGAGCTGTGTGGTCCTTCTCAATTTTTTTCCATCTGTAAAATGGAATCATTTCTCCTAGCAATCTTAAAGGTCAGGCCATGAGGAAATAGTATTTACTAACTCAAAAAAACACAGGTGAGGCCAGGTTCAAATATGCATACAATTTGCTGATAGCTCATATATCTGAACCTGGAAAGTCAAGAGGGAGGAAAATAAAGTTTTAGAGTGGCTACTCCTTCAAGTTAGGCTGTAAAACACTTCTAGATCTGCCCTAAGAATAATCTTTAGTTCATTCAGTTTAGAAAGTTGCTTGTGAGCAACTAGAGTCACTGATAGGCCTGAATCTCTGCCACCTTGAAGACCAACCAGTCAGCTCGGAGCTAATGGCAGCACTAGTAGACTGCTTAGTGGTGATAGTTTCAGAATCTTTCTGCTGTACATAGTTTAAATGCAGATTCACTGATGAATAATTTTGATAATTCTGTTGAAGTTTGAAGACTGCTTGAATTAGATGACTACACGATTATGTATTTTTTTCAAAGACAATTCTGGCTTCTCTTCTGCCATGTGAAATCCATCCTGCTGAGTGCTCTTGACTAGTCACGTCCTTCCTGCCATTTTAAAAACAATAGTGGCAGAGATGCGAGCTGCTGATAGTGCTCAGCAGGACAGATCAAACACACAGATGCAATTTCTGTACGTTGAACAGTGAAGTAGGATAAAATTCAAATACTTACAATCGCTTAGTAGCTAGCATCTGATTGTTGCAAATTGAATCTTTCATAACGGGATTTATTGTAAATAGTGTCATATCATTTGTGAGTTCTGCAATAATTTCAGTCAAAGCCAGTGCAAGATATTGGAGGTGTGAGATTTACATGATGTATATGCTAGTTTATGCTCAGATTATAAAGGGATTTTTTCTTATCAATATTCTTTTTTTAATTGCTTACAAAATAATCATAATTGTAATTTCTTTCTCTGAAATTATAAGCATTGTCAAATAGGATAACTTTAAGATGTAGAAGAAAACAGATCATTCCACTTCATTTTAACACCTGTTTTAGAATTGCAAGACCCTAACCCTGCTTTTCACCCCTTCTACCTAGTAGTCAAATAAGCATTAAAATTTCAGGTAGTTTGAAATATGGCTTTTATATTTTTGGAAGCAATAAAGAGCCGAGTAATCATAATTAATGACCAATATATTCTATCAATAAAAAAAGAAAGAAAAGAAATTCAACTCTAAGATATTTTGAGGCCTACAAAATGTGCTTTAACTCCTTTATAATAAAATGGGAAGCTGGAACAATTTAAGTAATCAATACTGATATTCACCTTTGGGTTTAGTTCAAAATACTTCACTGGAAGTTCATAAATATCAGCATGAAAAGCAATAACATAATAATAGTACTTTGCATCTATGAGAATTTGGTGACACTCCACATACTTAGCTTTAATTGCTAATGACAGAACCCCAAAAGGCACTATCTTACAATCTCACAATCTTCCTATTCAAGATCCAAATAATGGAAATTCAAAAAATAAAATAAAATGGTAGGACCAGAGGATTTGAATAATCTGATCGCTTTCTTTCCCCTGTCCTAAACAAACAAACAAATCCTTTGTATTTTACTATGTATTTGGGCTTTTCTGTTATAAATATGAATATGAGAATGCAGTGTCTCAGCAGGATCTGAATAAAAAAGTCTTGCACTCAGATTATCTAGGACCTTGGCCGAAAAGGGCCTTTGTGAGGAATAAATGCTTCTGTTTCATCCTTCTTCATTTATTTTAAGAGTAAATATTCCACATGCAAGTTAACATTTATCATTCTGGATGGGGAATTCCCTATTTTGGAGCCTCTGAATTTTCAGTTTGCTCCCCTCTCCCTTAAGCAGGTGTCTTTCCATCTCTCACAAATCAAAAGAGGAGGTTAAAAGACAGCCTTTGGGGGGTACCCTGATGTGTATTTTAATAAGGAGACTAATCAGAGCATATATAAATTAAAATGAATCATAGTCATGTATTTAATAGCAAGCAAAACTCAATTTAACTCATGTCCAGCTTTCTTTCATGTCCATTTTATTCAAGGGCATACCTTTCTCTTTCTGCTTCCTTTTTTCTTTCTTGGACACCTCCAACCCCCATTGACAACCGAAATGCAGGGCTATAAATGTAAGGGCGCAATACATCATGAGATAAGTCTGGAGAACATGTCCTCTACCAAAATGCACATGAATCTCTGGTGCAGCTAGAATTCCAGAAACATGCTGAGGTTCATTTTGCATGCTAAGCAGGGTCAGAAATATGAGCACCATGTCATTGCCCTTATATATCAGGTGAACTCCAAAGTTGAAAGGTTACATTTGTGAAATTGTAGCTGGGTTGCCTAGCACTTGATTCTAGCTCCTGCAAATCAAAGATTCCTAATTGAAATACAAGTCTGACAATATGATAATCTTCCTATAAAAAGAAATGTGATTTCTGAGCCCTTATCTGTTGAAGAGCTGACAGAGAACTTCAGAGGTGGTTGTTTAACCAGACAAAAAGATAGAAAAAAAAACCATGTTTTCAAACAAGATCATAAGGCTTGAATAGTGAAGGGAAAATAAATATAAAGCAAAGGGCTACCCTCTAGTCTACCAGTTTGATTCCCCTGCCACCAGTTTATGTACTCAGCCATTCACCTCTTAGGCAAAGGCTAGTGTCCTCCAAGTCATCCCCAGACCCCCAAAACCAAGACCGGATAAAGTGGCATCTAAACATACTTTGAGATCAGACAGTTTCTGCATTTCATAATGTGTGTGGGGAGGTGGCAGGGGGTGGAAGGGAAAAGCAGCATACCAATGTAGTAAAATCTGGAAACAACAGCATATATACAGACACAAAAAAAAGTTTGCATATTGCACAGAGCGCTTGAAGATCATAAATCTATGCATGAGAAAGATGTAGTGGAAATTTTGGGGGGGATTAGAGTTTATTTTTGTCATCTCTGTGAGACAGCTACTCATTCATCCAGATCACAGCTAAGAAAAAAGCTGGTCACAGAAATTAGCAGTTTCAGCTCAGCAGCGAAGTCGCCAGCCTGTGAAGGCAGAGAGAAATTGACTAATTAGCAATGCGCACTAAAACTTGACGGTTCTTTATAGAGAGAAGAGAAGAGAGAGGGAGAGAGAGGGAGAGGGAGGGAGGGGGGGCTCGCTTTTTCCCCTTCTTTCTTCCAAAGATGTTTGAAATCGCAGTCATTTACGCTCGACAATTTTTACAATAGCCTTGAGCCATAATTTTGCGAGTCTCTCCAGCATCCATCCCCCTGTATGGTCTCTCTCTACTGGCCAAGCACGACCGTTTCTCTCCCCAACCGTGGATTTCCTATTACTCTCGTTACGACTCACTGAGCCCCAGGCCCAAGGATAATGATGTGTTGTTTCTTGGTAGCATAATTTGTCACACGTACATTTTTTCTTCTTCTTCTCTTGCAGAAAGCTCAGCTCCCTCTCTCTCTCCCTCTCTCTCTCTCTCTCTCTCCTCTCTCTCTCCCTCTCTCTTTCTCTCTTTTCTCCCTCTCCTACATTTTCTTGCTGTTGCTAATTCATGGTGATCAAATGATGTACGACAAAATAAATTGTAAAGAGTGACTGCCTGGAGTTGGGAACCAGAAGGTGTTTTCCCCCCTCCCAAGGAGAGAGCAAACCTTTAAAAAGGAAGGACAATTGATTTTTGGGGGGGAGCTTAAGTGAGCCTTGACTTTGCAGCTGGTTGACAGCAGGTAAGTTTCTGGCCTTGTGTCTGCCTTGTGTGTATTTTTGTTGTCTTTCGGGTTGTTGGAAGGGGGAGGGACGGGAGGGAGTCTTTCAGAGGGGTGGGGGGTAGGTGTGTGGCAAACGCTCATAAAGAATAAAACTCTCATTGCAAGAATAAGCAAATGGGGGGGGAGAACAAGAAGGAAGGGAAATAGGAAAAGATGGGGGGGGTGCGAGACAACGAAGCGGGGAGAGCGAGAGAGAGGTATGACCGGGGCCACTTCCAGAGAGAGACTCTGAGAGAGGTTTCCGGCAAGCCAGAGCTTTGGGGGCGGGGGTGGGGGTGCTGCCGGGGGAGGGAGCGCGTGGGAGGTTAGGGTCCACCTGGAACGGGATGGTAAAGTGAATCGAGAGGAACCCAGTCCGGTAGAAATGGGAAGCCGGCGATCCAGGACTGGCGCCAGGCAGGGCAGAGTGAGCCGCAGTGGAAGGGCCAGGTCCGGCGGGATCCCTCTGAGCCGGGCAGCGACGGCGGCGGCTGCTCTCCCTGGCGGGCGCGCGGGCGGGATGCGGGCAGAGGGTCCCTTTCCGCTCAGCCCTGGAAGGTGCAATTACAGGTTAAGGACCGGGCGTATCGATTTTGCCGTGCCTCCCCCACCCTACCCACCTCCTCCTAGATGCGGGCAGCTCAGACTTTTTACCGAAGTACTTCCAGGGTCGGGGGAGTGGGGGTGCCCAAATGGGGGACCTCTGGGGGCTACACCCAGGCGTTTGGGAAGGAAGCTGCGGCTTCCAGGAACCGTGCGGGGTGGGAAGCAGTCCTCGAACCGGACTGCGTCCCCCCCCCACCCCCGACATTGGCTAGCCCCCACCCCTCCCCCAACACCTGCCTTCTAACTTGAACTTCTCACAGTTACTGGAGTTAAAGGGACTGTGCCTGGTGCCCTGGAGGGAGAACCGTCCATAGGAGTCCCTCCCGGCCTCCAGATTCTTGCTCTAAATCCACCCTAGTAGCCCCACTTTCCCCCTCGTCTTTCTCGGTGCCGCCCCGCGCTGGAAGGGGAGATAGGTGTCTGAACTTCCGTGCTTTTAAGTACCGGAGGCGGAGTGGGTGGGGGGGATAAGGGTGAGGGGGTGGAAGGATTCTTCTGCTAGGTTTAAAGGCGTCTCTGGAAAATTAGCAAAACTGAGTGGTGACGGGGAAGCCAACAGTTTGCGAAGCAGGGAAGCGGGCAGGGCCGGGGTGAGGGAAATGAGCTAGAATTGATAAGGACAGCTCCCGCCTCTCCGAGTCCACTGAGCTGGTCCTCACCGCGCTCCGCTGCACTTTCCCGGGAGAAGAAAGGGCTTTATCTCCTCCCTCAGACTATTAGCCTAGGAGTTTCTCAGGGCAGCACGGATAATCGAAGGGGTTCCCGGCTTTTGGAGAGCTAAGAATCGCCCACCCGCACGCCTGTCTGGCCCCCTTTCCCACCCTACTCCCCCAAACTGGGCCAACTACGAAAAGCAAAGCTTGGAGCTCGAGTTGACCTGGAACCACTGCCGTCGGTCGCTTCTGCTCTCTCGAGGCACCCCTGACTCCCCAATCCCGGTCTTTCCCTTCATCTGGCCCGGCATGGACACGAGCCCACGAGGCGTCTCGGCCTCAGCCTCCACTTTGCCGTCGCTGGTGCCATCGCTGTCGCTGCCAACTGCCGAGCCGGGGTGGTTTTAAGAAAGTGAGGGAAGAAGTGTGTGGAAGGTAGCGAGGAGCCAAAAGAGCGCCCGGACCCCAGACAGGGCCCTTCGGGTGGCGCTCACGGATCTAGAGCCTTCAGACCTTCCTCTTAGGGTCAGGGTCCGGAGCGCGCCGGGAGGGAACCTAGCAGAGCCTTGATTGTTGTTCTTTGCCCTCCCCTCCCCTCCACACCATTCCCCACCCCGACCACACCCCATCCCTCTACCACCCTGTTCCCCCTCCCATCCCCCACCCCTGTCTGCCAGGTTGGAGGAGGGTTTAAAGCCAGGTGCGCCGAGTCAGCTCGCCATGTCCAGATCCGGGGACAGGACCTCTACCTTCGACCCCAGCCACAGCGACAACCTGCTGCACGGCCTCAACCTACTGTGGAGGAAGCAGCTATTTTGCGACGTGACCCTGACGGCCCAGGGCCAGCAATTCCACTGCCACAAGGCCGTGCTGGCCTCCTGCTCGCAGTACTTCCGATCGCTCTTCTCCAGCCACCCCCCTCTCGGGGGAGGGGTCGGCGGTCAGGACGGCCTGGGGGCCCCCAAGGACCAGCAGCAGCAGCCGCAGCAGCAGCAGCCGCCACAACAGCAGCAGCCGCCGCCACAGGAGGAGCCCGGGACTCCTTCCTCCTCCCCCGACGACAAGCTGCTGACCAGCCCCCGGGCCATCAACAACCTGGTGTTGCAGGGCTGCTCTTCCATCGGGCTGCGTCTAGTGCTCGAGTACCTCTATACCGCCAACGTGACCCTCTCCCTGGACACGGTGGAGGAGGTGCTGTCGGTCAGCAAGATCCTGCACATCCCCCAGGTCACCAAGCTCTGTGTGCAGTTCCTCAACGATCAGATCTCAGTGCAGAACTATAAGCAGGTGTGTAAGATAGCCGCGCTGCACGGCCTGGAGGAGACCAAGAAGCTGGCCAACAAGTACCTGGTGGAAGATGTGCTGCTGCTTAACTTCGAGGAGATGCGCGCCCTGCTGGACTCGCTGCCGCCCCCCGTGGAGTCGGAGCTGGCGCTCTTCCAGATGTCCGTGCTGTGGCTGGAGCACGACCGCGAGACCCGCATGCAGTACGCGCCTGACCTCATGAAGCGCCTCCGCTTCGCACTCATCCCGGCCCCGGAGCTGGTGGAGCGGGTCCAGTCAGTGGATTTCATGCGCACCGACCCCGTCTGCCAGAAGCTGCTGCTGGACGCCATGAACTACCACCTGATGCCCTTCAGGCAGCACTGCAGGCAGAGCCTGGCCAGCAGGTAGGAGACAACAAAGACGAGGGCGGGGTGGGGGGAGCCCGAGAGGCCGGAGGGAGGGGAGGGGGCAGGGAGGAGGGGGGAGAAGGGTGGGCTGGGCAGGAGGCTCCGACAGGCTGAAAACAAACGCAAACAATTCAGAAGGTGTAGAGAAAGTTGATTTTAGAGTCCCTGAAAGGTCAATAGGCAGCTGGCCTAACAGCATCCCTGAGCGTTCAGAAGCCCAGATTCTCTATATCCCCACAGCAGGATATGTGAGAATTGTGGACTCACATTGAAATTGACAGGCAGGTGGGGCCAAAGGCCCAGGCAGTTAAAAAGTGCAGTTTTGGAAGCCTCTCTACCATAGCCTCTACCATCCAAATCCCAAGATGGGCTTGCTCAAGGAAAAGGTTTCTGTTGATTCCGATTCCTCTTTCCTGTCTTGGGCCAGCAATAGTGCCCTAGGCATGCCAGCAGAGGATAGCGCGTTCATATTTCTATCAAGCACTCAAGTTGGCTTTTATGTGTTTTGTGATTGAGGTCTGCTCCCTTTGGAGATTAGAACTTCAAAATGCTTTGTGTGTTAGGGTTGCTATTGGAAATGCTAGCATCATGTGGCCATGCAAACTTTTGTATCTTACAGAAAACCTTTCTTTACCGCTTTTAAAGAAGAGCAAAGCAAAAGGAATCTTGCCTAGTATCTTCCAGGTCAAAGAGGAGTACAGTTGCAAATTGGGAATTGGGGAGTGGGAGGGAGCAGAATCTTGTAGCTCTTGGTGGTCTGTGTGCCTGAACATGAGTGGCAAAGAAATTAGGGAGTTGTGCTGCTCTTGTTGCTGTTTAGAATGTGTCTATGTCTGTGTTGCAAATAGGAGTTCATGTCAAAAGGGAGAGAGAAATAATGGCTTTTTAAAATGCTGCTGAGATAAAAGACTGTAGGAATTGACAGCCCTGTTTTATTGGCTCCAATTTTAAAACCCTTTTTAATGAGCCCTAGCAAAGGGTTTCTTTCTCTTTTTAGAAAAGAGAAACAGTATCCTCTCAGTTTCTCATGATAAAACATGATTCCAGATGCAGGGCTACTCCAGCCTAAACCACCAAGTGTTGCTTTAGGAAAGTCCATGTTCTGAAAACCTGTCATGGCATGTTCCCACACAGAATACTGTGTAAGGGATAGGGTCCACTGTGTGCAGCCTTGTGGAATCGTTTGGGATTTGTTGTGATATTTCTGCCAGACCTAGCTAACTAAAGTTTTAAGAAATGGAGGATATTCTCCACAGTTGTTTAGCAATACTGGTGTTAAGGTGAGGCCAACAAGAGCAAGATTTCTCATGAGATAATCTGAACTTATACTAAATCCTGTAAGTTGATTTTTCTAATATCTGTTGGACATGAGTTAATGTCTTGTGGTATCAAAAGATGACAATAAGACAATAGCAGAAGCAAGAATACAAACCCTCTTATACTCGAACATAGAGCACAGGAGTCCAAGTGGAAATAAGACATGAAATGTGGTGTTTTTTTTTTTTTTTAAGAGTTTTCCATTTGTCTAAGATCAAAATGCAAGCTCAGTATGATGGGCAAGTGTTACCATATCAATGCACATTGTTGATTAGCATTTTGTTATTTTTTTTTCACTTTTAAATGACCTATAAGTATTCTTCATTTAACATATATCATACAGAGTCAAGAGTTCAAACCACACAATTATAACCCTGAACATACTTTTATATATATATATATATTTTAAAGATGTAGAATTTGATATCAATTCAGAAACCCAGAAGGATAATAAAATTAAAATTTAACTTGTTCTAAGAGTAATTTGGGCAGATGAGCTTTACAAATATGATCCAATAAATAATTTCTGGAGCCCTTAATGCACTTTATCTGTAAGTAAGTCCTAGAACTCACTGTTAGGAGAGTTGACTTTGAAAATGCAGAATCCATTTCCCACCTTCCTCTGGATTCAGCACACCAGCTGGGGCCTGCTGGCTCTGTCCTGGTGGATGGCTGAGATACCAGACTGCCTGACTCCATGACGACACCTTCCAGCTTCACTGGGCCACATCATTTGAAGGATATGTAGTGGTGTCTGACCACTGAATGCTTACAAGTGTCATGGATGCTGCAAGAATCTGATACTTCTGCAGTAGGAAGAAAACTGTATTTTCCTTTAAAAGAGGAAGATACAGAAAAGAAAATAGTTCATGTGAACCTATTGCTGATCTCAAAGTAATATAATTTAGATTTTATTCCATTATTAGTAACTGTAGCATCCTAATTTAAGGAACTAATCACATCATTCTGGCTTTAAGTCACTGAAAGAATGCAAAAGTAAATATCCAGATCTTTAACTTTAATGTAGAAAAAGACTCTTAAGTTGCAACTCAATAGTATTAAATGAGCCCATTTATGAGAGCATCAGCATAAAATAAAAATGTTTTCTCAACCTTACATGTAATTCAACAGGAGGATAAATGTGTTGACCTATTGTTTATGAGATTACATCAGGTTTATTGAAGAGAGTGGAATGGAAGGACATTGTATTTATTACTTTTTATCCACCTGTAGTTTTTAAAATCTAAATATGAATTCGTTCCTCAAGTGCAAAGAAGGAGATGGAAAATTAAAATTGAGCAATCAGTTTACTTTATGAGTACAAAACATAAGCAAATAGAATAATTCCAAGAAAATTCACTTCTTTAGGAATATATTTCTATAGAAAATAGAGCTATTAATATAGTAATAATAATTTAAACATGATTTTAAATATTATTCAACAATTTTGATTTTTTTGTCTAGAAAAATAAAAACAACCCAAGTATTAGGTTTTTATATAAATACTCAAATCAATTTTAATATTTTTATCAAGTTGATTTATTTTTCAGAGTAAACCATTTCCACTCAGATTCATATTCTATTTTAACAAAGTACATTTTAGGATAATAAATAAAATTAGAAATTTGTCACCTTGTGTTTAAATATATAGTTTAAAATGTATGTGTATATATATATATATATATATATATATATATATATATGATTTAAGATAACATGACTTGAAAAAAGCTATAAAGTTTCAGTTTAGACAGGAGGAATAAGTTTTAGTGGTCTCTTGAACAGCATTGTCATCATAGTTAATAATAATGTATATTTCACAGTTGCTAAAGGATTAGATTTTAAACATTTTTGCAAAAAAATATGATAGGTAGATGAAGTGATTAATAGGTTAATTGACATGATTTAATTTTTCTACAATATATACTTTTATCAAAATGTTGTATATATAATTTGTATCTGTCGGTATTTTTAAATTTGTTAAAAAAAGATGACAGGATGTGTGTAGACAAAAAATTAGAATATTTTAAGTCATTTCTTGAAAATATTCTTTTTATTATAAGAAATATGAAACTTTCTCACAATTTCAGGAAAATACATGAATTAAGTTCTTGAAAAGGTTTCTGGAAAAGTCAATGTTAAAGTCTTTTAAAAGATGACTTGATATGCAATGAAGAGTAAATATCTGAAGACTTGTAGTCTAAGTTATGCACTTAGAATACAGGCTAACAGTTATAAATCTACAACTTATAATACAGAAGACTATATATAGTCTAAGATAATGTAAGTAACTCCAAGAGATTTTTTAATTTCTATTTCTAAATTTTAATACATAATTTAATAATTATTCCAAAAAAACCAAACTGCACCAGAGTGTTAACATTTTTTTTTTACATTTTATTGTAGCTCACACAACGTAACCATTAAATAAATGTTTATTAAAAGTTAAATGAATTAACATTATGAAATAAGAAAAACTAACATTGCACTTCATCAACACATTACTCAACTGATATTATTACTTAACATAATAAAAGTCCATTGGACCTTCCCCAAGAAGATACCTGTAAATAAAAACATTATGAAAATTTTTATTTTTTAAA